ACATAAAATATTTTGACATATCGCACATACAGAGCTATAATGACACTTATGCGATTCTTGTTAAAATGAAAATCCATTTTTAATAGTTACTAGTGGACCCGGCGAACTTTGTTCCGCCACACGGTTTGTTTCAAACACATCAACCGGTCAACTTTAAAATTCTTTTTTTTTTTAAGAGATTTTATGACCTGGTAACTAAGACCTTTAAGTCATGTCTTATTTTACTTTATATTCTTAATTTTATGAAAAATGATAATATGGAGTGAAATGAAATGAAGATGATTAATTTGAGACATTAATCAACTGGCATGAAATTTAATGAAATGAGATGATATGAGATGAAATCTAATCTCAGTAAAATGGTGGTCATTTACTAAGATTTTTTCAGTGGACTTTTTGGAGGATCCCGAGAAGTTACGTCCAGCGCCTTTGTTTCATTTTCCCACATTTGTGCACTTTCACAGATATTAAACGGTTAATAAACCACCATTATTACACATTTAAACCCGAAGAAACACTAAATAGACAAAATAAAACAAATCACACAACTTCGCTCCACGCGTTCCCGCCAAAAAGTCCCTTCAAAATTCTACTATAATTAAACCATAGAATATATTACGTTTAGCTGTCAGTTGCGTTTTGTTATTCCATATCAGTTGCGTTTTTTTATACCACGTTTTATGTCGCGTCCCACGGGAACGTTATAAAAAGTATCCTATGTCCTTCTCCTGGTTTTACGCTACCTCCTCACCAATTTTCAGCCAAATCAGTTCAGCCGTTCCTGAGTTATAAATAGTGTAACTAACACGACTTTCTTTTATATATATAGATTAGTGACGTGTTTGTTTCTACTGATTCTCTTCCCCCAACCTATGCAATAAAAATAAAAATTCTTTAGTCAAGAAGAACTATTTATAATTGTAATAACTTGTAATAAGATGTTGAATTTTCAAATTCTTCACCTGAAAAATTATATAATTTGCATAAGTGACGTTATGGCACTGTGTGTGCGATATATGAATTACGAGCTGTTTTAAAAGGTCACATTCAAAACTTTACAGACGCCTCGCATTCGTGAGACACAATTTTCCATTCCAATTCTCCATTCGCCAAACACGGATTTGGTTATCATTTAAAAATACATCAGTGTACAGCGTGCGAGTTTTTTAACGTTCTCGATAAGGTAAAAGTTAACTCAATGCCGTTGGAACTTTGCCTACGTTTGCCCCTAGGGGCGCTGTTCTAATTGCATACAAATTTGAGTTAACTTTTACGCTATCGAGAACGTTAAAAAACGCACACATTCGATACTCTTTGACGAGTCACTGAATAATCACGACAATTACACGCGATACACGCAGTCCTGCGTATATTTACAAACAAAAAAAACTTAATTTTTTTTTAATTCTCATTTACGGCTTTACCCTTCGACTGCCATGTACGTAACCGGTGTCCTACGTGACGCACTAAAGGAAGTATGTCGATTTCTCTCTTCGCTCTTCTTACTAAGACGCCGCTTGCGACGAAGGACTCGACGAGTAAATTAACCCACAAACACAGCCCACTGAGTTTCTGGCCGGATCTTCTCAGTGGGTCGCGTTTCCGATCCGGTGGTAGATTCTGCGAAGCACTTCAGCTTGCTAGGCCCGGTGTTAGCAACGTCATCAGGTTTGAGCCCCGTGAGCTCATCTACATGTTAGGGCGAAGCTGAACTAGCCTCTAAAGGCTATCAGCATAGGTAGGAAAAAAAAGGCGCCGGAATATCTAGTAGAATCTGGGAAAGCCGAATCCGAAGGTACTTAGAACGAATCTACATCTAAGAGATTTAAAAGATATAAAACATATATTAACAACAAAAGAAGGCAAAATTAGGCAAATATAAATAAAAAAATAGGCAAATAAGGGCTTAGTAACAGAAATCGACACAATTACTTCAGTACAGCACCGCAGGGCAGTCAAAGGGTTTAAGAATCCATAATTATATGATCGCGTTACTTAACATAAAAAAGTTATTTCCGATCGTAATGATTTTTAAATGATCTGGTATGAGTAAGATAATTTAATTACTTGCATTAATTATAATGTATCAGCAAAATCAGCTGACGCGCGACATATAACGGTCACAAAGAAACACGCGGTTGACCATTGACTTTGTCATTCATTGCGGGTTAAAAAAATGAACGTACTAAGACTATACTATACATATGTTTATTTATATATATCATCTTTAGAATTAAAGTGCTTTAATCCAAAATTCTTGTTTTTTGGTAAACGCCAAAAATGTAATTGAAGAATTGTAGTCTTTTCCAATTTTGATTTTAATACTTTAACCCTTAAAATTCATACCTTAAAGCTTAAAGTATGCGCTTGATTTAAAAGGGGGCGAAAAGTGTAGTTTGTCTTTTCTAGACTAAAATTTAAATTCAATTTTATAATCTGATAGAAAATACATGTTTATAAGTCGCTCAAAGTATAAAACTCATTTTCTTAAAATTATTGATTAAGCCATTTCGATTTTAAAGGCGCGATATATTTATCTTTTCTTAATTAAATGTTGTTATCAATTTAACGTGTAACACTCGCGTAGTGTTCGCTTACCGCCAGAATAATAATTACGTATAGGCGTAAAGAGTTTATGTCTGAAAAAGTATTTTCTTCTCGATAATGCCTACAGGTAAGGTCATCCTTGACGAAGGTAGCTCAGAGTAAGCAGAATAGTTCGTATATACAACAAACAGTTATACAAATAATAATAAAAAAAAAAAAACGTATACATATTATTTTAGTATTAAAACTATTGATAAAAACATCACAGATATAAGCATTATATATTTTAACATGATCTCATACTCAACACAGTTTATGTACCAGAGACTTTAGATAGATATGTGTAGGGAAATAAAGTACCGAATAATTAGGCAGATCTGACGAAGACCGACGAATATAGCAACACTCAAAACTCGCTATCGTCAAATTGGATTTTAAAGTTGATTTACGTGTTATTTTCCACCGTAAAATAATTCTTTCAGCAATAAATCGTTAATTTTAAAACAGATTCACAAAAGACGAGCCAACAATAGTATAATCAGTCATTACTGTACCCGGCGATAAATGTTACATATCGGCTTTTGGAAAGAGACAAACTGTTAATTTATGCATCTCTTTCGCACAATACCAATTTGACGTTTGTCAGTCGTTCTTCAAGTAAGGCAGTGTGCGACCCTAATAGACACCGAACTGTCCGCGGGATAGGTACCACCGCCCTGCTTATTTCTGCCGTGAAGCAGTAATGCGTTTCGGTTTGAAGGGTGGGGTAGCCGTTGTAACTATACTGAGACTTTAGAACTTGTATCTCAAGGTGGGTGGCGCGTCTACGTTGTAGATGTCTATGGGCTCCAGTAACCACTTAACATCAAGTGGGCTGTGAGCTCGTCCACCAATGTACGCAATAAAAAAAAATAATAAAAAAAACGGTTTGTTAGTGTTTCGTGCGACAAAGATAGCGCTCTACGAAGCTGCAATTAGCCAATTGTCTCTTTCCAAATGTCGATGTGAAATATTTATCGCCGGATTCTGTACTAAGCATAAGTGCTCGCACGATTAGGTACCACTATCCTGTCTGTTTGTCACGAGGTACCGTACGTGCCAATGTCAAGAATAGGATCGGTCGACGGTCCAATACATTAAAATAGATGGGAGGCAAATTTAACATTCATAGCGTTATTGAATTTCACTTCTAAACAAGCTGGTACCATATATAGATAGATAGCTTCAAAATAATTTGAGACACTTTCCGCGATTTGCTTATTTGATCGATTCTGATGATTACAGTTCACGGTGAAAAAGTGACACGCTTCGTTATACGACAAAAGGGCGTTCGGCCATGATCGGCTCCTGTCGGAATTTTAGAGCGCTGTCTCGTTCGCACGCCTGTGGTGACGTCACGACGATACGCACGTGAACAACGTACTTAAATTATTATCTTTTCACAATCGTTTACAAGAGTACCTACATCTTGTTCCTAAAGAGGCGACACACTTCAGGCGCCTTTATCGAAACGTATTATCTAAATTGTACCGACACGAAAGATAAAAGTTTTGCATATCGAATTTGTCCTTTTGCCGAATTCGTCAAGTTTTCGAGACGGTATGCTCTTTTAATTACTTAACTTAATCACCACGAAACAGGTTTTGGTTTTTTTTTCTTTTTTCTAATATATGTTAATGGAGTTTTGTTCCACGATTAACTTCGCTTTTACTTGTACATTAACAATGTCAACGGCACCGTAATTATTAAATTCGAATAACAAAGATATAGATGAGAAACGTACACACTTATAACAAAGCAATTTATGAGTCGTTCGAAAGGACTTTTAGCTAAATTAAAATGTGAATCGTGATGAAGTGAAATCACGGAAAGCTGAATAGCCACTAGTGACGTCACATGAGGGTAATCGTTGGCCAATACGACGTCATACGTAATGAGGTTGGTCATCCGACGGAACGCATTGCCCAACCCAGCAAAGACGACGGTTTTGAAGATTTTTGATATTACTCATTTCCACATCATAGTATTTTGTTCGGACTTCGCGAGTTGGAAGCACAATGAAAACTGCATTTACGATTTAATCTTGCATTTTTTATTGCCATTCTATATCATTTCTGACGTTTCCAATTCGTTACTGTTTATTATTCGTCGCTATTTAAATATTTTATGAACTACCCTCTATTTTTTTATTTTTAATAATACAATGACAATTAAAAAGGCAAGATTAAACTCTGAATAGTAGTTTTAGTAAGACGTGTACAATTTTAAATGATTTCGTTCTTTTCATAAGCCATACTCGTACACATAATCTAATAGATGTAATATAATTGGAAAACTGAAAATAAAGCTTATAGTAGCTGGCTGACTAAACCCCAGTCCTTCCCACTTAATAAAGATCTCCAGCTCCGCAAAATGACGAGTTTCCAGTTCCGCAAAATGACGAGTTCCCGTCGTGTCATTACTGCAATCCGTCAGATCAACAGTTTCACTGACAGCACACTCGATTCGCTTTAGTCTAAAATCTACATTACCAACATTCCCATATGTCTATATCACATATCTTTTTTCAAATAAAGGCTGTATTTTTTATTTTTTGTAGAACCTATCAAACCCGATATCGCTGTCAAAAATCTGACATTAACCGATGTTGCCGTATTCGAAATAAACACACTGTTGTACTGTGCACAAAAACGAATGAGATTAGCTAAGGTATAATACCTATTATAATATTATTATTATTATTATTAAAACGTATATATTGTCACGCACATGTGTTTTTTACACACAATGTATTATTATTCGCCGGGACCAACGAAAAGAGCACTCACTGCAAAGAACAGGAACACAATACCACCAATTATTGTAACTGTAAAAGAGGAAAACTTTATTAGTTAACGGGCAACACAGGGTAAAAAAAAACTACCATTTATGACTACTACAACCGAATGAATGATTTTTTTTTATTGCCCTTGTTGGCCGGCGATCGTACGGCCCACCTGTTGGTGAGTGGTTACCGTCGCCCATGGACTTCAGCAATGCCAGGAGCAGAGCCAAGCCGCTGCCTACCGCTTAATACTCTCCGCAAGCCTCGTTTGAAGAAGGACATGTCATAGCGCTCGGAAAACACCGTGGAGGGGAGCTCATTCCATAGCCGAATTGAATTGAATGAAAATTTTAGAAAGATGCTTTAATAGTAGAAATGAATAGGTTGCTTTTTACTTCAATGAGTTTTATTGAAGAGCACGGATTATGAGAATAAGCAAGGAAACATGTGCAATTCATTAGAATACGTGGTATAGAAACAATTTTATTGAAGCCACACTTGATTAAGGTAATTTGGAACCTGGACACGAAGTATTGAGACATGACGCGGAATTCCAGTTTCATTGGAATAGTGAGTACCTCTCTTAGTATCTGCATCAGCTACAACGATGGCATCAACCCGTGACCTGCGTTCCACTTACTCATAAGTGGAGATATCTAGGTTGGTGATCACACATCCTCGTTAACTCTGATAAATAAGCTATCTTGTAAGCTTCTCTGACCCTGAGTAGTAGGACTTCTTGTGAGTCCGCACGGGTAGGTTCCACCACCCCGCCTATTTCTGCCGTGAAGCAGTAATGCGTTTCGGTTTGAAGGGCGGGGCAGCCGTTGTAACTGTACTTGAGACCTTAGAACTTATATCTCAAGGTGGGTGGCGCATTTACATTGTAGATGTCTATGGGATCCAGTAACCACGTAACACCAGGTGGGCTGTGAGCTCGTCCACCCATCTAAGCAATAAAAAAAAGTCTGATTACTCACCAGTCCTCACAGATATCTTCTGCGCCACCATTCTTCCTCCTATCACAGCCAAGCCCGTGCACAGCGCGTGTCCGAGCGACCCCCCGACTACAACGCCAACAGCGTCTTCTCTTGTCGCCAATACAACCGTGGCTAGCTGCGACCTGTCTCCCCATTCAGCCAAGAAAGTCAATGTGGCGGCTTGTAGCAGCACCTTCAGTATCGCATTACGTTTCCTCCGCTTGTTCTCCGCTTGACCTTGCTCCAGCATGTCAAGGGTCTCCTCTTTCTCTTCCTGAAATTTTCGTTTTCTCGTTGAATAAAACCTCTTCTACAAAATTAACGATTCAATTTGAGTAACGTCAAAATTTTGAAATTCTGTTCGAATGTTTTTTTTTTTTTTTAGTTTCTGATTATAACATCAAGGGTTTTTTTTATATAAGCAGATTAATTCAATAAAGAGGTTTATATTCCAAAAGACTAATTAAGCATTCGGTGCACATTAAATACATAATATTAAGGAGTATATAATAAATTCATAGTACATGCTAGGCACGATTTAAAAGGCTAATGATATATTGTTTTATGACCGACTTACACCTTCACGTTCAGACGAAACGCAGATAACAATAATAATGGATATTTATAACGAATACGGACCGGAACTAAGCAAATTATATATAGCGGATTGAACTGATTCTAAACAACAACAAAAAAAACCTTCGAATTTTGCATTAGTCTCTCTTTGTTTCGGTGTAAATCATCATTTTTTTTCGTCGATGCAAGAAGCTAATTGATTGACATAGTCGAAAATGTTTTAGGTCTAACCTAATCATACTTTAACTTTTTAATTTAAATCAAGGCATGTGCATACAATCATACATGGTAAACACTAAAGTTCATAATGGAATCAATCGACACGAACGTGTAAACGCCTACAGCACGACTTAATGACTCAAATGCTGAATTCCTTTACATTCAATACGGAAAGCACGAAAACATGATATGGTCGGTGCAAGAACAAAACGCAAAGAAGCTCAGGCTAAAGGAACAAACAAAAAAAAAACTCTATGGTGTCAATCGTACTGCCAGACATAATCACGTAAGTTCACCGTGGGCGGTTCGTTTCGCGTCGAGGGCCCTGCTTCGGGCTCCTCGGGCAGCTCGGGAGCTGTAACGACCTCGGGAGGCGGTTCCGTTTCGTTACTCCGTTTCGAGATGGTCGACGTGACCGAGGTCGCGTCAGGAGATCTTGACCTCTCTTTCGGAGAACCCTGTATTTAAATTTAGAATTTGGTTGGATGCGATCGGATTCTGTCCGCGCGGGTAGGTACCACTACCACCCTTCCTATTGCTGCCGTGAAGCAGTAATGCGTTTCGGCTTGAAGGGTCGGGCACTCGTTGTCAATATACTTGAGACCTTAGAATTTATATCTCAAGTTGGAGGGCATATTTACGCTGTAGATGTCTATGGGCTCCAGTAACCATTTAACACCAGATGGTTATGTGAGCTTGTCCACCCATCAAAGCAATAAAAAAAAATCAAATTCGCGGTTATTTTGTCGATAAATAACATCCCCTTCTCTTCTAATACTATACGAAAACCATCCCACAGATATTCATAAGCCAGATTTATTGTGAAGGAACAACAAAGAAAGGAATTCAACATTTGCAACTCGGCAGATATAAATACAAAGATTATTTAAATCCTTCGGTACGCCCTCGACTTAGCTACAGTGAAGAATACTGATAACTGATGCAACCGCATAAGTAAAATAGTTTCAGAACACTACCATTTTTGTGGCGAAAATTGCAAAGGTAAATATTGTCTTCGGTATTCGCGAGCCGTGGGTACACATATAATTAAAACTACTTTGACGATTTAATATCGCAATTTCTATTGTCGCCATATTATTTCTGAAGTTTAGAATAGTTTACAAATTTTCGTTTCACACAGACAAGTCGTTCATTCGTCCGTGTCCACGTAAACGGTAAGGTAAAAATCAGAGTTTGTTTATTTACAGACTTAAGAATGTTTTAATCATCACCAAGTTTCTTATTTTTTCCCTACATATTTCCTTGAAAAGTAAGGGTTATTTTGGCCATTTGTGGGAATTCGCTAACACTGCCCTAGTAAAAGCAGTGCTTCGCTGAATCTATCATTGGATCGGAATCGCGACCCACTGGGTCAATGGGTTAGTTTGCTCGCCGAACTCTTCTTGCTTGAATGGCCTAAAAGCACCGAGAGTGAATTCGGGGGATCCGACAAGACAGGTGTCGGGCGACGGTGGCTTTGCGTTTCCCCGTCGCCGGAACGGATAATTAATTTGCCACAACCACAAAATAAGGCTATTGTGACGTTCCGCTTTGTCGAAGTAGCGTTCTGACGCTACCTCAAGATACTTACGTATCGGTTCTAAATTTCTCACGTACCACGGTGCTCCAACGGTTATCCTGCAGAAACGGGATTGGATGACCCGGAGATAATTTATGTACATGCGGGCTGCGTGAGCGAACACTCCACTTGCATAGATCATGACGGAACGTATATAAGTTTTGTGGTGTCCTCTTGTTACGAAGGGACAATTTATTTCTTGCAGATCATGGGGTAGAGTAGACCGAGTAGGAACGCGTACTAACGTAACGTGAGGTAACCGGTATACCGTGAGGTAGTTTACCCATCATAGGTATTAAAAAAAGGTACAAAATCTGCCATATTTTTTTAGGAAAATTTGACCAATCGGCAATTTATTTGTTGGACCGTTGGACGATGGTGGTGGTGGTTATTGCAGTTTCAGTCCTTCGGCAATTTTATCCTCGGGGCAGACAGAATGTCTTGTACTTTTTATACACAAAAAGGGGTTTTGTAGTCGTCGGGGCCTAAAAGATAAGACGTCCGGTGCATTCGTATCGAGCGGTGCGCTGGTGTTCGAATCCCGCAGGCAGGTAACAATTTTTCTAATGAAATGCGTACTTAACAAACGTTCACGATTGACTTCCACGGTGAAGGAATAACATCGTGTAATTAAAATCAAACCCGCAAAATTATAATTTGCGTAATTACTGGTGGTAGGACCTCTTGTGAATCCGCACGAGTAGGTATCAACGCCCTGCCTAGTTCTGCCGTGAAGTAGTAATGCGTTTCGGTTTGAAGGGCGGGGCAGCAGTGAGACCTTAGAACTTATATCTTAAGGTGGGTGGCGCTTTTACTTTGTAGATGTCTATGGGCTCCGGTAACCACTTAACACCAGGTGGACTGTGAGCTCGTCCACCCATCTAAGCAATAAAATAAACAGGTTAACACCTTATAAAGTGAATAAGGCGAGGGTACACTGATTCCTTTCCAATTTAATACACTTCGAATTTTTTGTTCAAAGTGTCGTCTCTGGTAAGTCACAGACTTAATCGCCGTGAAAGCAACGATTGATACCAAAACAATATATCTATTTTAAGATTCAAAGAATAAACTAACAACCTACGTAATGGTCATAAAAATACCTCAACATAATAATGATAGTTATTTTGCACATATTACTCATAACCAAAATTGTTCAATGTATCTGTAAAACGATCTACTTATGTTTCAATTTAGAACAATGTTCTAGAAAAAAATCTTGCACGGCTGAAGTGTTTAGATTGTAGACTGAGCGACATCGCGTGTTTTCCGGCGACTTCAAAACTACACACACAAAAAAACCTATACAGGCTACTTAAGGATATCCCCTCGTCTCGTCGAAACGAAAAATTAACATAATTTAAATTAATTAAAATAAAAAATTTTAAAAGTACGATCGAAAAGTATTCTCTTAGTACACATGTATGGGCACAAACAGCCACTATTGGCAATCATTAAACATGATTTATAGTTTACATTATTCTATGTTATTATTTATTTGTTATTAGTACCATGAAACTATTATTCTAACCGTAATTAATATTTAGTAGACACTGTTATGATGTTCAGAAGGTTTTTAATGTTTATTTTATTGTTTTAAAAACACAAATGACTGTCAAAATACTCAAATATTACGAGTAATAATCATAAATATTAATTATAAATTGTTATAATTAACATTATTAATAGAGGTTAAAGTATGAAATTGCCGTTTTATTGTAATAGGTACTTCGAATTGACATAGAATCGTCATGGTTTGAGATTTTTGAGTGAAACTTTTTTCAAATGGTGCCCACGAGGTTCTTCTTTTAAAAAATGTGCAACATTCGATTACCGACTCACAGATGTTTTTTTTTTTTATTCAGCTTAGACAATAAAGATGGATACTTCGAAAAGTCGTGTGATTTTTCCGACCCGACCCGGAACTAACGCTGCAGAAACAACTCGCAATATCAATGTTGCGTTTGGAGAGGGGACTGCTAATGAACGCGCCGTGCGATTTTGGTTTAACGCTTTCATGATGGAAATTTTTATTTGAAGAACGAACCAAGTGGGAGACCGCCCATATATGTGAATAACAATAAATTGAAAGAGATGGTGAAAGCTGATCCGAGCCAAACTACCCAGGAATTAGCGGCACGGTTTAACATTACCTAACCAAAAATATTGACTCATTTGCGTCAAATCAATAAAATAAAAAAATATAAATAATGCGTGCCTCATGATTTGACTGATCTGCAGAAAGAAACGCGTGTTGAAACTTGTGTTGCCTTGTTGAATCGATACAGAAATGAAGGAATATTGGATCGAATTGTGACATGTGATGAAAAGTGGATTCTTTACGATAACCGTAAGGGAAAAATGCAATGGCTGACCCCAGGTCAAACGCCGCAAAAACAGCCCCGACTCATGAATCGATCTTCACCATTATTGCTCCATGATAACGCGAGACCTCATACAGGACAAGAAACCGTTTTAACTCTACAGGAACTGCAATTAGAAACCATTCGTCACCCTCCGTATTCGCCGGACCTTGCTCCAACGGACTACCATTTTTTTCATGACTTGGACAATTTTCTACGTGATAAAAAGTTTTCTTTCCAGGACGCAGTACAAAATGCTTTCACACAGTTTGTGGAATCTAGATCACCAGAGTTCTATCGCAAAGGCATAAATGACCTTCCTATTAGATGGCAGCAATTTATGGTAATATATGTAATATAATTATTAATGTTAGATATTTTGATTAAATAAATCTGTTAAATAAATAAAAAATCAATTTTTCAGTACTTATCGGCAATTTCATACTGTAACCCCCTAATAATTTGATTAAGTATTGTAATTTTTTATGCAAATCATGTTGTTGGCGTCATTCATTATTAGGCTGGATAATAATAATGTCAGCTTATATGTATTAAAAAGTAATTTATGTAAGCTAATTTCATGTCAGTCATGTAAAAATCACTAAAATATTTATCGTGAATATTAAGCTACATTTTATCAATTGTTTTGCAGTTTTTGTTTGTGTATGTACCATTTGTTTGTTTAAAAGGAGTTGGAATTGCTATAACCAGCACAAAATGACTAATTTTGTAAAACTAAGACGTGGCTTTTTGTAATAAACAAGCAATGTTAATGTTTCATAGAATTGTATTGTATTTTCATTGTAATAGATCTTATGTGTAAAAACCCTGGCTTATCGCCGATATATAGATACATATTATTATATACGATTATATTATATGTATGTATGAGTGTACTATTATAGTATCGCGTATAGCTTGCACCGATATGTATCATCATCCTGGATGTTTCAAACGCTTTGGACCACACGGGTAAAAAATATAGCTGGCGTTTCACATTGTCATTTTTTTTGGCCCGGGGGCCGATCTCACGAGGTCTCCGCGTCTAGGGGGCGCGCGGGTTATGTGGGACTGGACGATCTACAGGTCAAACCGCGGGCCCAGGGAATTTTAGAGCCCTACCTCACTAAACGACTCTCCTGTACTCTTACACCCGACGTCCGATCTCTGTCCGGGGTCAGAACCCGGTCAGAATAGGGGGGTTCTCGCGGTCAACCAAACACGCGGCGACACCCCGAGGACGCGCGGCTACACCCCGAGGACGCCCGACCGACGGGGCGTCGAGGCCATAGTGGACGACCAACGACGCCGGTCACCGCGGTTTACATTGTCATGCCTCAACTGGTCATCAAAACCAACAGAAAAAAACCTTGAAAACATACACAAACTTGCAAGCAGATCATCATTTACATTAGGTAAGTAGGTATATTGAATCAATATCGACAAGTAACTTAAATTTCAAACAATGGGCATCCAAATGTCTTAATTAGCGGTATTTAATCACGAATGGTCTACAATCTTAGACATATAATAATATGTTTATACAATAAGTATATGTTTACGTATACACCACGAGGTCCTCTATGAAGATACCAGATATTTACCAAACAGACACCAGATATTTTACACAAAACTTTGGCCCGCAACATCTTAAGCACCGTTTTCAACAGTACCCATTGCCATAATTAACATACCTTGATTAATTCTGTTAATTTTAACAACAAATTCACTACTAACCTGATCCTCTCTTCTTTTTAATTCACTCTGCACCTCCTCCAACTCCTCCTGACCTTCGTTTGGGTCCATTTTCCAGCCGTCCCTCAACATTTTGATGCCGAATATCGCGAACAAGGCCGCGCTGACGTAGTACGTGTACACTCTTGGGATCACGGTGGCGATCCAGCCGAAAGCAGCCGATAGTATCGTCATGAATACAAGGGCCGAAATAGCTCCAGCGAAAACTATGATTCTTGGATGTTTCATCGCCATTATCGCTGCTATGAAGAACGTTTTGTCTCCTAGTTCTGAGACGATGACGACTGACAACGAAGCGAGGAATCCTTGCCAGAAGTTGCCTTGTAACGCCGTTCTCTGTAAAGATAAAGTTATTTTATAATTGGATAGAAAAATCCTTCTAGTTTAATTTAAAGGTTTTCAATAAATACCATAGTAAAATTATCCAAATTCGACTCATGCATAAAGATCCCAATTATTGTTAGCGGATAATCCAATTATTAATCATTAAAAACAAATCTTTTACATTATTATGATGCAGTAATTGGGCCGAATATCGAACGAGATATATTTAAAATCATTCCATGACGTAACAAAGTAAACATAAAATATAATGAGATGTTTGCCGTCTTCAAAAGACATTGTTTGAGGATTGTACGTTATCATTCGCCAGCAACACATGTAGATTCCAACGATCACTGCAACATTGTTGCTGTATAGACAATTGTTGCGGTTTTTCTTTACATTTCATTGGCATGTGCACGCTCCAGCTGCTAATAGATAAACAAGTAATGTAGATCTGTATTATTTACCCGTAATTTATGATGGCCTTCGAGTTTGTTCGAACCACAGTACGTCGGTACTAGAGAAATACAGACTATGGGTAGGTATTTGGGGAAAAATAAAGGGAAGATTTTCGAATTTGTTCGGTAGACTGACGCAACATTCCAAATGCAGCAGTTCAGAACCATGGGAAATTATCTTTATCTTGGAACATCTGTTACATTCATACGACTTTTGTCGGCTTTCAATGTATGACAGAAACGCTACAGGTATCCATCTTATAGACTGGTCTCTGGTGATTTTGGGATATTGAGCTTATAATTTAAATAAAAATAGATCTAAAAATTAGCATTTTCAAGTATTTTCATATCTCAAATTTCGAAAAGCACCAATATACCAATATTTAAAAAGTATTACATAGTCTAAAGTAACTCAGACTTCGTCAATAATAGATTCTAATTTACGTCATTCAGTATGTTTGTACTGAGCTTACAGAGGATTAATAGTAAAAATATATATAATTTTCTGAAATAATTTAGAGACGCTTGCATGTATTAATAACTCGATGACGCATTCACATCCGGTAATTCGTGTCGATGCCAAAACGCCATGTTATATCTATCTACTCTGTGGTCTAACGTTTACATATAGAAATCTGAGAACCAAACATTGTAAGTATGTAATTGGATGGAGAATTTCTGAGATTATCACGCGAACTAGACGTGTCTTCTAAGAGCTATTTTCTTCAGTTTTCCTGAATCATAGACACAATTAAGACTGCTTTTAGGATGTAATCTCGTGTTTATTATGGCACTCGGACCACTGTATTCTGAAGGTTAGATCAAGCAAGATGCTTGATCTAACATTCTGCTGCTGGACTGGACTGGAAGGACTGCTGATCAATAGCCATTGCAGCTGACACTTAGAAAATACTCAAAAAAAAAAACATATAAAGTCCGATATTATTAATTATGTAATGTTTTAAGTTACTAACATAGATTACGAGTAATTCTTATAGTCTTTCTGAAATAAAGATTTCTTATTATTATCATTATTAAATTATTATTATTTCTACAAATACTTTACGTTTAGTTTATGTGGCCACGTCTTTTTTTTCTACCTAAGCTGATGATCTAGAGAGACCATGTGAGCGTCGCCGGACTAGTGGGTGAGGTCGCGGAGCTCAAACCTGAGGATGTTGCTAACACGAACCCTAGGAAGAGCCGTGCTTCGCAGAATCTACCATCGGATCGGAAACGCGACCCACTGAGAAGATCCGGCGAGAAACTCAGTGGGCTGTGTCTGTGGTTTAATTTACTCGCCGAGCCCTTCGTCGCAAGCGACGGGTTCGACGGAAACGATGACCGGTGCTTGGGGTACCTAAAGGCACCGTTAATGGATCGGGAGGATCCGAGATGACATGTGTGGTCACGGACGAGCGTATTCGCGGTCGTTAAAACTTTTCTTCTACGTAACCGAAACTATTTCGCTAATTTAGTGTTTTGAGTTTATGTGACAAAAAAACGTTATTGCCACTAATCAGTGGGCACATTACCATTTTTTATAGTTTTTTGTACTTGTAACCTTCAATTGATATTTAATATTGCCATAAACACTACTAGAAGAGACAAAGACATTTGAGCGGTTCGAAGACCAGCTAGAGGACAGACTTAAAATTAAATAAACACGTATACATTATTTGGTTAAACACCGAATTACGTTCGCGTGTTTAGATAACACTATTGTCTCGTACGTAAAGGGCGACGTAATAATATTATTACGAAACGCTGCAAATACTAATACATTTAATTATTGGAACGAAGTTCCTTATCGCGCGTTGTGAAAGGGGGCTAGACGGAAAAAATTCTTACGTAAAGTTGTCACGACACTTTTTGCTATAAATTCTTACGAAAAGTTGTCACGACACTTTTTGCTATAAATTCTTACGAAAAGTTGTCACGACACTTTTTGCTATAAATTCTTACGAAAAGTTGTCACGACACTTTTTGCTATAAATTCTTACGAAAAGTTGTCACGACACTTTTTGCTATAAATTCTTACGAAAAGTTGTCACGACACTTTTTTGCAAAAAATTCTTACGAAAAGTTGTCACGACACTTTTTAGATCCGTCATTCTGACCAATCAACGTGTAGGCGCTTATCGCGTGACATTGCTCGTATCCGATTGGTCCGCGTAATGAGTACAGTTTCTCGAGATAGCGTTTCAACAATAGTAATTTAGTTCATAGTATTGTTTTTTTCTTCTTCATAATGCCGTAATTTATTATTATAACTTAAAAAAAAATTAGAATTCCTGTACTAATTAATCGAAAGGAACTTCGTTCCATCCGGGCGTCCCTTGACAGCTCTGAAGTTTTTTTTAGTATTTTTACTACTACTGCAACTATAGATACACTTTAGGGCTTCTCCCGTTCTGTCTACTTCCCTGCTATAAAACATGATTGATTCGGCTATGGCGTTATATACTGTTTGTTGTAATTGCTTTCTTATCAGCCCACAGACGTCCACTGCTGGACATAGGCCTCACCCCAAGCCTCGCCACAAAAACCGATCCTGGCTTTAGTACTTGCTTTACTACCATTTGATTGAATGCGATTGGATTATGATCAATTTTTTCAAACATTAATAAAACAAATAAAACGTTAGATTTTCAATTACCTATATGGAAAAACATGTTTTTTTTTCTTATCTCGATATTATTGCATGGCGCATCAAAAGAAAACCAAAAGTTCATTGACATAAATATTTATCGATCCGGGTGAGTTTGATAAAACTTTACTGTATTATTATTTTTTGTTAACATTTTTCGACATTGTCGGTTCTGTGTATAAATTGTTATTATTAAACCTTTTATTATTTTGTCCGTAAATTTGAGTCATATCATCATCGTGTTAAAGAATCTGGATATGCGTTGCGGGATTATTGAAATAATCTTGGCTAATATTTGCGTTCTTCTAACTAAGCACATACTTAGATCTACTATTGTAAGGTTTTTGGGGATTCTTGTCATAGTGTTTGGCTATTAACGTGAGATTAGCCTTTTTTTTGTTTTGTTTTTTTTTGGTCAGGAGTAAATCGCCGGACTTCCGCCCTCCACCGGGGACGGCAGGCGGAGTATGTCGGAGTCGAGAGTCGAACCGACTCAAACCTCCTGTCGTTCAACAGCCAACGTCCAAACCTCGCATGAGACAGAGCTCATGAAAAGGCAAAGGGGGGAAAGTGAAGTGTTTAGTGCAAAGCATATCTCTCCCCTCACCTTCCCCCTCGGGACGCCGGACTAGCAGTCGTCGGCGCCACGACCACCAGCCCTCTCGGTCGGCAGGTGTGATTAGCCTACTGAGTTTCTCGCCGGATCTTCTCAGTGAGTTGCATTTCTGATACGGTGGCAGATTCTGCGAAGCACTGCTAGGGCTATTGTTAGCAATGTCACCAGATTAGAGCCCCGTGAGCTCATCTACTCGTTCTGTGAATCTAGCATGACCCTTGGAGGTCACTAGAAATGGTAGAAAAAAATAATTAAATTGGTAGCGTAGTCCAACGCTTCGATTAATTCGTTTAGATTCGATTTAATATGAAAAAAATATGTCAATATACAATTTAGTAAGATCCGGAAATTATACGTCGTGTTTACGACGCGTGAACATCTAATATGTACTTCATTTAAAATAAAAACTTAGCGACATCGCCGTAGGGTCTAAAATTAAACTTTTTTGTTTAATACATGAACCGGTATATTTTTTATTTTATTTATAAACAAACGACTTCCTGTTTTTTTATTTTATTTTTTTAGAATATTTGGTTTCTTTAAGATTGACTAGTTTATAGATAATATAGAATTTTCATTACCAACGCTGATTGAAGTTTTTTAGTCAAGTTTCAACACTGAACATTTTCAAACTGAGACTATATTATTCTTTATAACAGGGCACTAGAAACTCATGCGAGACAAGGACAAGCTCACACGGACCAGAAACATACATATCGAGGGGAGAAACGCTATTTGATTTAAACGACATTTCGCTTAATGCGCCACATTTATCTTTNTTCCAGCGCACCCTGGCGGCCGTAGATTACCATGTATTCTCGAATATTTATAGTCTGTGGCATGTCACTTTTTACATCGAAAAAAAGTCAGGATCGAAATTTTTGAGCGAGCTATAGTTTGTGGTGATAAAATTAATAATTTCAAGTAGATTAATTGTTGTAATTGATATAACTAGTTAATATCAGTAAGATAAAGTTGTGAGTGATTGATATAATATACAATTTAGGAACCAGAAATACCGTAGAATTAAATAAAATTTCGCAACCTCAAAAAACTGTTCTGCTTACAGTAAACACAGTGGGTAGTCTGGCGCTCCGTTTACAACGGGATTTTTTAACGGAACTTGGCGCCAGATTCTACCGAATCTGTGGATAGATTATCATCAACAATTCGACGCTCTTAGTTGAATTTCAGTTAAGTTTACCCCATTCAAAGAAATGAGGAATTTGTTTTGATTATAATATATTTTTTCTAAATTTTAATCTCCTGTAAAGTTGCAAAAATGAAT